GTTACCTTTGTTTGCAAACTCCTTGTAAATTTATTCACTGCAAATTGTGTTGCAAAGTTGAGGCAATGCCTTTTTGGGTGGCTTTAGTTGTAGCTTCCAAGAAATGGTATTTGTTTGACTTTTTCAAAGCATCTTGCTTTAAGGTGATGAAGTAGTATATTATGATCTACTCTGTATATGATTAATGGATTTATTTAATTAAAATAGAGGCAAAATGGAGCTTTAGTCTTTAAGTGGAAGGTGATCTGTCAAATTGGCAAGTGTGCAGTTATAGTTTTGAACCTAATGTCTGTATCTTCTGTCAGACATGATTAATCAAGTTGTCTTTTATTGGTAGTTTGATTAAGTATAACAAATAAGAATTAGGTCTCTAAATATTAGGGCATATATTCCAATAAGGTAGGTAAATAAGATATGTCAGATTTATACATGCTTTAGTTCATTGCTAAAATGCTGCAAGAATGCTTTATGTAGTTTGGTATAAGCTGTTGGATAAACTCAGTTGATCTTTAATGGTTCTTAGTACAAGTATATATATATGTCACTTTCTTCTCTCTTTTCTTTTATTAGTAAACCTCTGTAGATTGACTGCAGTTAAATTTCACAGATATGGCAATGCTAATGTTTGGAAGACTTTCACAGATTTATTCGACTATTTCCCACTTACAGCTTTGGTTAGTGTGATCTCTCCTTTCTAAATTTTACTTGCGTAGAATGCATTTGATTTGTTCCTTCCAGTATATGGAGGAGCTCATTTTTAATATTCAAATGATTTTTAGTTGTGGAATTATATGGAATGGTATTGAGTTCTCATGTTCATTCTGCTATATTTCTGGCTAATTGCATATCATCTTCTGTCCATTGGTGCTATAAAATTTTCTTTTCGATTGATACACTAGTCATGCCCTGAGGTCAAATGTATTGTTAACTGTTTTAGATTTTTCAGGCTAGAATTGAGTAAAATCTTCTTGCGGCGCAAGTTATGAATAGTCTTTTTAGGGTTTGTATTTTCTCTACACAAGCATAGTTAAGATTGTTCACATACTTGCAGTGGTGCTACTCCAATGAAATATTCATGTTTAAAGGATTGGCAATTTTTTGGGACACCTAGGGTGTAATCAGATGCGGTTGTAACTTGTAAGGGCTTTTTTACTGTTGACACGTCAAATAAGTACATCTTTAAACTACTCACTGCATTTCTATTCATAAACAATGCTGGAATTCTTAGGTTTTGTAATTTTTCCATACGCAAACGCAAGCATACTTAAGATTGTACCATGTACTGTCCATGGTTCTTTCCAAAGAAAATATTTAATGTTGGTTAAGGTTTGATTAAATTTTGGGACATGGGTTGTAGTCAGAGACAGTTGTGTTTTATGATTGGTGTGTTATAAATCAATCTTTAAACCACTTTCTGCATTTCTCTTCATGAATTATATTGAGTTTGTTACAAGTCTTAACTCTTAAGGATACTTTTGTTTGAAGGTCCACAAGTTACCAATATAATCTTGTGATCTGCCTGACGATAGCAGCTACATCAAACTACATTTTATCTGCATGTTGGTTTTCCAACTGTATAGTATCTTGCTGTTGCATTAAAGTAGGCACAATTTAGTGGGCGTTTTGATCACTAGCATTCTCTGGCTGAACTTATTTATTTATTTATTATATTTTTTTTCCTGGGTATCTTGCTCTTTTATTTTGTCTAAGCCGATTGTTGTGTTTTTTCTTTAAATTACATTTTGTAGGTTGAGTCAGAAATATTTTGTCTCCATGGTGGTCTGTCTCCATCTGTTGAAACTCTTGATAACATTCGTAATTTTGACCGTGTTCAAGAAGTTCCACATGAAGGGGCAATGTGTGATCTTTTATGGTCTGATCCTGATGATCGCTGTGGCTGGGGAATCTCACCCAGGGGCGCTGGATATACATTTGGTCAAGTAATTTGGACTAGTGCTTGCTCTTTGTTTTTCTTTTTAAGTTATATATTTAGCAGTATGATTTCTGTTTTTCAAGTCAAATTAAATCCACTACCTTGCTTTCTGAGTTTAACAGGATATATCGGAGCAATTTAACCATACTAACAACTTGAAGCTTATTGCTCGAGCGCACCAGTTGGTTATGGAGGGATTCAATTGGGCTCATGTAAACATTTGACCTAACCCTTGGTTCTTGGTGTAATTTTACTTGGTAGAATTAAGAATAATGTTTGTTCATTCTGTGCTTGTTCCAGGATCAAAAGGTCGTGACCATATTCAGTGCGCCTAATTATTGCTATCGATGTGGAAATATGGCATCCATTCTGGAAGTTGATGATTGCAAAGGCCATACCTTCATTCAGGTCCGTCTCAAATATTGTGTCATTTTTTTTGGGTCAGACCATGAGGTGTCTTGAGCAGGCCCTAACTATAGAAGGAACCTTTAAGCCCGTACCATACTAAGACTAATCCCCATTCGCACCGGGTCGGCCCAATTAAGGGGCAAAGTGCTGGCCAGATTAGTTTTTCCATACGAGAGGGGGTTCGAACTCTCGACCTCTCGACCTCTCTTAAGGGATGAGAGTCATTTCAGCCACTGACATTGTTTGTGAGATTGGTGTAAGCTAAATGTTGACTTTAAAATTGTACGTTTTGCAGTTTGAACCAGCTCCTAGGAGAGGGGAGCCAGATGTAACCCGACGGACACCAGATTACTTCCTATAAAAACTGTCCGTTGTGGCCCGAAGAGTGGAATTTTGTTCTGAAGCCTCCCGTAGTAGTTGCTTTATGTGTCGGTGACTGCTCTGCTGAATTAATAGTTAAATAATTTATTTAATATGGTGGAATGACGAAGAAGCACTCAGATGAGGCAAGGCAGGTGAGGTTTTCTTTCACTTCAATCAAGAGTTGGTGAAGCTGGCTGGCAATTAGATTGCTGCTTGAAACCATTCACACAGTTAGTTCTGTTGTTCCTCATCCCCCCTTCCCTTTTTTTGTTTCTCTTCACTGTCATTTTCGTATATTTTGTCGTGTCTTGTAGGAAACAATCATTTTTTTTCCTTATTATTTTGATCCTCTGTAGGAGGATGACATTGGTTGCATTTTGTAGAGAGAAGAAGATTGCTTGCTGTTATTTATTTCTATCTTTTTTTTTTTTTTTTTTTTTTTTTAATCATATATGATCTTGCGTATTTGCTTCACTTTACACATGGTAAACCGTGTTGATGTTCAAATAATATTTCAATTATATAAGATTTTATTTATGATTTTTAATTTTGATAATTTCAATTATTCGATACTTGAAGAACTCAATGTGATTTGTGGATATGACATGATGTTATAATGGAAAACGATACATATTCCAAAATTTATGGCAAATAATTCATATTGAGTAAGTATCACTGGTTGAATCGAAGAAATTATGCCAAATAATATATAAGATCTAGTACAAGAAAATTAATTGCCTTGTTTGGTAACATAGTTAGCTTTTCAGTTAATTTTGGCTTATTTGATCATTATTAGTTGTTTGACTTGGTTAAATAAGTATTTGATTAATTATCTTTTTGTAACAGTTTATTGTTTCAAAATGTTAAAATTTAAAAAGTTGTTCAAAATAATTTTTTTATCAATTTTTTGAAAAAGTCATTTTGTATGTAATTAGCTAATAATTAATTTATCAAAATCTTTCTACAATCAACTAGTCAAATTGACTAACTCATTTAATCAACTAAATTAGTCAAATTCACTAATTTAATCAGCTAATAACTATTTATTAAACACCTTCATTTTCTATATATAGGTAAGATAGTGGTGTTCTATAATGTAGTTTGTAAAAAAGAAAAAAAAATCACTTGAATAATAGTCCTAAACCAAAAGGTGTAGTAACTAAAATCAATATTAAAGAAAAATTTCAAATATGTTGAGTGAAATACTCATATGGTCTAGAATCACAATCTTGAAAGTGCAATGGGTAATAATTAGTCTATGATCTAATTAATATCACTGGTCATTCATGTGAACCAAAGAAATAAATTTTGATTTAATTCAACTGTAAAAGTTATTTTGATCCCTTAATTATTAGCGATTAGTTGATTTGGTTCATTGCAATTTTACTATGTGTTATTCTACATTGTTACTAAATTAGTTCCTTGGCACAAATTTACTATCATGAAACCTTAGCAATAGATGAATTTGACAATAATGTAGAACAATTAAAGATGATATTTGCGTTTACATCGTAACGAGGATCCAAGGAAAAAGGTAAGAAGTAATTCACGTGTACTAAATAGAGAACTGAGGAAGAAAGCGAGAAGAAGAAAAAAAATAAAAGAGAAAAATGAAATAAATTTGAAAGGACCAAAATACCCTTCTAATTATAACATACGGAGTATTATTTTTTTAGTCCTAATTATAACATAAATTTGAAAGGACAAGGACTAGTTAAAATTTGATAATTGAAGGACCATGGGTGGTTAAATTGAAAGTTGAAGGATGGTAACAGTTTAAAAGTCGAAGGACTACATGTGATCATCAATTTGATAGTTTAAAACTAAATGTGGCAAACCTACTCTACTCCGGCATTAAGGTAAAACAAATTCAACAAATCAACAGAAGCACTGAAAATACTGAAAGTTCAAATTCTGTTTGATTTAACCATAATCTGTTCACAGACAAATTAAAGACGATGTACATAAATCATCCTACAAGCTACAACCCATCTCCTCTAAACCCTATCAGGATTTCTATTTTTGTTTTTTTGTTTTTGTTTTTTTAAGGCATCAGAAACAAAGCAACTCTCCATTTTATGTAACCACAATTCTTAGTTGTTGATGGATGGAGGTAAGGGAACCAGTGATATAAAATGACAATACAAGCGAAATGGTTGGATTGGGAGATCAAAAGGAAATTAAAGGTTTTCTGTCAGAATTCAATATTTCATGGGACTGCTATCAGAATTCAGAAAATACTGTATCTGTATGTAACATGCATATATATACAATACAATCCAAAAATTAACAAACACTAACTAGCATTCAACAAACTCTCGAAATCTCTCATTATTTGGCATGCATCGTTGAATTCAACCGTTTTTTTCATCTTTTCTAATGCTATTCCGGCAGCTTCTCTCTTGATTTTGAGTTCGGCCTCTGCCCTAATCCGTAAAAGTGTTTGGGCAGCTTTGACTTCTTCTTCAATCCTCGCTTTCTCTCTTTCTTCTTGTTGCTTCATATGGTCAGCAATATCTCCCTGAGTTGCTTTGAAAATGAGATGTGCATAACGTTTCTTCATCATCGCAGCACGTAGAGCCTTAGTTGGAGAAAGTTGATGAGCATCAACAGTAAGTGAAAGTGAAGTAGTAGTAGTAGTGCAAGCATGATCAATGGCGGTACAATTTTCCTTTTTCTTTTCTCTGTGAATCATCTTCTTCTTCGGCAGCGCCCTCTCGCAATCTTCCCTAATACCCATTCTCCGCCGCCTCTTAACTTCTGCTACTTTGAAGTCATCGTCATCGCAACCTGGACGCTTCTTCTTGGATTCAGCGATGATCATCTTCTTCAAACCCTTTTCCCCATTATTATCTCCTTCCCTTTCCCTTTTGTTGAATGATGAAATTCTGATCGGTAGCCCTCGATCAGCAGCTAGAGTCGTCATTATATTGATGGCGTAAAATTAAAACAAAACTCTGATAGATGGAGAGATGGATGAGATATGAGCGAGCGATTATATATGGAAATCTATCGAAAGTACGTATGTAGCTAGTGAGAGCGCAGACAACTGAGATTAAGAATCTTTAAATAGATACAACAGAATGCCTTTTTATTTAACGTTTGATTCTTGAATCTTGATTATGTCATCCTATCATTCAAAATAATTAATACTCCGTATTACTTTACTTCTCTCCCAAGTAAATTTAGTTCAAAATTTAAATGAAATAAATTATTACTCCGTATTAAACAATCGTTATGCCTTGGACCCGTGTCCAGCATGCTTGCTGGACACGGGTAACAGTGCCGTTAGGCACTGTTATCTCTTTTTTTTTTTTTTTTTTTTTTTTTTTTTTTTTTTTTTTATAATTTCAGACCACTTTGTTATAGAAGTATATGTTCATAATTTTATTACTATATGTTAATAACTATACATTCATAACTCCATAACTGTACGTTCATAACTCTATAACTGTACATTCATAACTCTATAACTGTACATTCATAACGTCATAACTGTACATTCATAACTTCATAATTGTACATTCATAATTTTCGAAGCTCTATGTTCACAATTTTAGAGCTCTATGTTCATAATTTTATCACTATATGTTCATAATTGTAAGTTCATAATGTTAGAGCTCTTTGTTCATAATTCGATCAATAACTGTACATTCATAATTCCATAACTGTAGATTCATAATCTCATAATTGTAGATTCATAACTCCATAACTGTAGATTCATAACTCTATAACTGTACATTCATAATCTTCGAAGCTCTATATTCACAATTTTAAAGCTCCATGGTCATAATTTTATCATTATATATGTTCATAATTGTAAGTTCATAATGTTAGAGCTCTGTGTTCATAATTTCATAATTGCATAACTGTACATTCATAACGGCATAACTGTACATTCATAACGGCATAATTGTACATTCATAATCCAAAAAAAAAAAATAACGCCGTTAACGGCAAAACGCGCGCGAAATTTTTTTTTTTTTAACTAAATGACGCGTTTTTTTTTGAAAAACGATGTCGTTTTGGGCCCGTGTCCACAATTCATTGTGGACACAGGTCCAGGGCATAATTTGCCGTATTAAATAACCCGGCCTCAACGTTAATTATTTCATTTCCTTGCTCCTTAGTCAAACATAGTCTCAGAACACCCAAATTAAACAATATATGTAATTATGTAAACATGCATGGAGCCGGAGGAATGTACAGTTACAAATATGTACATTATATTATAAACAGAAAATGGGAATTTTTTTTTTTTTTTTTTTGAAATAAGAAAATGGTAATTTTAGTTATAAATATATTGTAAACTTAGTCATTAAATTATTATCATATACAAAATTTTTGTTTTTATTTTTTGAATACAGAAATTTTTATTAATTATTGTTCCAAAACGCTAAAATTTAAAAAGTTATTTAAAGTAACTTTTTCGATCAGTTTTTTGAGAAAGTCATTTCGCAGGTAGTCAGCTAACAATTAATTTACCAAACATCTTTTTACAATTAGTTATTAACTAGTCAAAATGACTAACCCAATTAATCAATTAGTAAAACCCACTAACTCAATCAGCTAATAGTTATTTATCAAACACCTTCATTTTCTATATCAAGGTAAGATAGTGGTGTTTTATAATGCATTTTGTAAAAAGGGAAAAATAAAATCACTTAAATAATAGTCCTAAACCAAAAGGTGTAGTAACTAAAATCAATATTAAAGAAAAATTTCAAATATTTTGAGTGAAATACTCATATGGTCTAGAATCACAATCTTGAAAGTGCAATGAGTAATAATTAGTCTATGATCTAATTAATATCACTGGTCATTCATGTGAACCAAAGAAATAAATTTTGATTTAATTCAACTGTAAAAATTACTTTGATCCCTTAATTATTAGCAATTAGTTGATTTGGCTCCTTGCAATTTTACTGGTGTGTTTTACATTGTTACTAAATTAGTTCTTTGGCTCAAATTTACTATCATGAAACCTTAACAAGAGACGAATTTGACAATAATGTAGAACAACTAAAGATGATATTTGTGTTTACATCGTAACAAGGATCCAAGGTAAGTTTTGATTCAATTCTGGAAATGGGAATGAGAATGAAAGTTTTTTTATTAGTATTGGAATAGGAATGGGAATGATTTATATGTATAAATGTTTAGTTACAGGCATGTATATCTACAAAAATGCCAAACTGGGCACAGATTGAGCTCTACTATAAGCTAGAGGCAAAGTAACAAGCTTTCCCAGCCTCCCAACATATGCTCTCTTAGTCAAATTATCATACTCATTCTCCTCAATGGCATCAAGAATCTTTCTGTACAACATTAGAGATGCCCAAACCTGCATATTTAATTTTTCAGTTTAAACTTTAAGTTGAGACAGAACATATCATACAGACCCTTATTAGGACTTTTACTTACCGGCAAACGACTAGCTTTGTCAAGGTGAGAAGCACCCTCCTCAGCTAGATTGAAGTAGAATCTTGCCCTTCTGATCTGCTCTTTCATGAACTCTCTCCATTTGTCACTCACCTTCCCCGCGAAAATATCCTCGTCGCTCAATCCAAATCTTGCTAGCTCATCTTGAGGCAGATATACCCTCCCCCTCAGTGCACTGCCATTGAAAAAAAGGATCAATAGTCTTTTCAAACAAAACATTGTTACCTTTGGTCTGACTCTGATACCAAATTGAAGTATGTGCTCCATCTCAACTAAAAACTTAAGCTGATAGTTGGATTGCACATTAATGGCTATATGCTCACAGTACTTACTCTTCTCCAACATCTCTGAGGATGTTTGCTAGCTGATTCCCAATGCCTAAGTGAAGTGCTGCATGATATATAGTGTGAGCAGAAAGTGGGGATTCTGGTGCAATCCCCATTACTGGAACACTCATTAGTCCCACTGTTCCAGCCACATAGTAGCAGTACATATAGAGCTCCTCGAAATTCGCATACCGGTTCTTTCTCGTGTCCATTCTCATTCCCTCTATCATGTCCTTGAATGGCTATATACACATACACCAAACCACAAAAATTCTGATTTAGTACCTCTGATCTGCTACCTAAGCACTTGTTCTTAATAACAAAAGGTGATCAATTGTTGGGTTACTATACCTTAATGTCTAAAGGGAATTTGTGGATAGTATCAGAAAGTGCAGCATCAAGCATATCAAATGGCCGGTAGTTGAAGATGTCTTCTATTCTCTCTTCCCACCTGTCAAGAACTGCAGAGCTCATGTATCCTGCATTGGGGCCATCAACTAGTTCATCTGTCCTCCTGCACCATACTGCAAAACAAGAAACAAAAACAAAAACATAAAGGCCCTGGCCTGTTTGGTAAAACATTAAGCCTATCAGCCAATTTTGGTTGATTTGATCACTATTAGCTGTTTGACTTGGTTAAATAATCAATACGAGTGTTTGATTAATTAGCTTTTTGTAACAGCTTATTGCTCCAAAACACTTAAGACCATGTTTGGTAAAATAGTTAGTCTATAGGCCAATTTTGGCTCATTTGACCACTATTACTTGTTTGACTTGGTTTAAAAATCAATATAAGTGTTTGGTTAATTAGTTTTTTGTACTCCAAAATGCTAAAATTCAAAAAGCTACTCAAAGCAACTTTTTCAATTAGCTTTTTGAAAAAAGAAATTATATACCAAACAACTAACAGCTAACAGTTAATTTACCAAATATTTTTTTACAATCAGTTAATGTTATCAACTAATTATACCTTATAATAACCAAATAAGCTATCAGCTAATAGCCATTTACCAAACAGAGCCTAAAAATCAAAAAGCTGCTCAAAAGAGCTTTTTTGATTAGCTTTTTGAGTCATTTTGTATGTAATCAGTTATCCCTAACAACTAATTTACCAAACATCTTTCTACAATCAGCTAAAGCTATCAACTAATCAAACCTACTAACTCAATCAGCTAACAGTTATTTACCAAACACCCCCAAAGTTTAATTTGTGTTGGGCAGAGGCCAGTGAAGGGCCAAGTCGGGTGACTAGGAGATTGTTTGGTAAAGGCTGGTGAAGGGCCAACTCTAGCACACTGCCTCTCAAAAGGGAAATAAAGTTGCGCCTTCACTACTACGAGTTATAGCCCGTAAGCGCTTGATCCTAACAGTTTGTCCATTTGCTATGATCGATCTATTGTTTGATGACAATTATATTATGGCAACAAGTTCTTACCATAAATAGCCCATATTGCTTTCTGTCGCTCTTCTGTCATCAACTGTGTACCTAAACAGCAGCACAGCCAAATGAGGTGAAAACACTGCAGATGGAAGGCCTAAAGAAATTAAAGGGACAAACTATATAAGTTGAATAAGTATATAGTAGGTACCTAAGTAGAAGGTTTTTGCATATTCTGCACAGATGTTCCTGCAACGTTGATATGCCTCTTCTAGGAACATGGGATGAAACCTGGGACTGCTGTTTGTATCCACCTGAAGGCTGTTCCTCAGGGACTGTCTGTACACGATTTCGCGTATGGGAATTTCGGGTAGAGAGATTTGAGGGAGGGCTGCTTGTTTAGTAGGAGAAGATATGAGGAGTTGAGCTTTCACACTTGATTTTCTGTATTTTTGAGGTGTTATGACACAGGGACAAACTCCATATGAAAGTGTTGAACACATTCTGCAGATGATGTTTTTGGAGTCTTCAATTCCCTACTTTTGTTAGTTTCTGGTTTACTCTGTGATAGATGAAAGATCAGACTTGGAAGTGCAAAATGGTCACTTTATAAATGCCCAGGGAGGGGCAGGGAATTTGAGAGTAGTTCAGTATTTTTATTTTTATTATAAAATTTTAAAAATAAATAAATATTTGTGTCTGACAACAGCTTCGCACCTTCGGGAGATAGTCATAGACCTTAAATAAGTGTGTTTGCGATGAGAAGGATAAAAAATGTTAAAAGAATCATATTACTTTTGAGTGGATCAAACATTAGTCTTATATCTAAAGATCGCAAGTTTGATTCTTGTCACACATCAGGCTTTTTTTGTTAACCAGAGCTACTAAGATTTTCTTTAATATAATATTTTACTAAATTAAGGGAAATCCGTTACTGGTTTTATATAAAGTTATTACAAAATTAAGTTTCGGAGAGTTCCACAATAATTGTGTTGGATATATCAATGTAGGAGTAGAATATAATGGGTTTGTATTGGCCTATTGGGTGATAAGGAGTAACCAAATATACTGTTTTTTTGTTTTTCTATTTTCACCAATAATCATGTAATTAAGTGTGTATGTATAGTTTGGATCAGGTGCAAACTGCCCTTCTCGTGTGAACATGCGAATTGAAGGAATGCACCACATTACTCCACGAATGCACCACAAAGTCTTCGCGGGCTCCTGGGCATGCGGAGCAGTGCGGTACATTCCTTCCGTTTAGCATGCTAGAATAATGTGGTGCATTGGTGGAGTAATTGGGGTGTATTCTTTCAATTCGACATACTGGGGTAGTGCAGTGTATTTGTGGAGTAGTTGTGGTGCATCGGCCTATGCTTGTTGGAGTAGTGCAGTGCATTCATTGAGTAAATACGGTGCATTCCTTCAGTTTGCACATGATCCTAGGCATATAAATAAATAAACAAATAAATGTGTATATATATATATATATGATCAAATGCGAAACATTGTTTAGGTAAAAAAATAAGGTTTGATTTATTCGTTGATCAAAATCAAATCAACAGTCTATAATGAAGATAATTAAAAAAAAATACGGTGTCATTATGGTAAATAACTTGAAGTAAGTTCAAATGGTCTTTGTCTTCGAGTGTACTTTTTTTTTTTTTTTTTTTTTTTTTTTCCTTTTTCGAGTGCACAATTTTCTTCTTCGAGTGCATATTTTCTATTCTTCAAGTGCATATGTTTTGTCTCTAGAACATAGTTTTCCCTTTAAGTGTACATCTTTATTTGTGCCTTTGAGTGCACAAATTTGACCTTCGAGTGTACATTTATGTGTCTCAAGTGCACAGTTTTGTGCTTTCAAGTATATACAATTATGGACCAATATTTATTATATCTTTTGTATTCTTTTTAATAATGTATAACTAAATTTCTAATGAAATTTGTGTAATTACAAACGATTTGTATGAAAAATTGCTTCAATAACACTTAAATTGAATAACTCGTTTTTTTTTTTTTTTTTTTTTTTTTTTTTTTTTTTTTTTTTTTTTTTTTTTTTTTTTGGGTAGAATATAATACTTGCATTGATTTCGCATCTTTGTGCCTTTGAGTGTAGAATTTTGACCTTCGCGTGCACATTTTTGTGCCTTCAAATGCATGATTATGGGCAGTGTTTATTATGTCTTTTGTCTTCTTTGCAATAATGTATAACTAAATTTCTAATGAAATTTGTGTAATTTACAAATGATTTATGTGTAATTACTTCAATAGCACTTAAATTGAATAAGTACCTTTTTTTTTTGGATAGCGTAATTGCTTCGAAATCAATAATAAAAAATCAAGTATGATAAATTTTGAAATCAATGACCAAATGTATATAGTATAATATAACAAAATCCAATTAACTTCTTGATCGTAAATTGTTTTTTTCTCAATTAATTAAATGGAGACCTTATTATAAAATTTGAAGTATTTTAAATCGCTACATAGTTGGTGATGCAATAAAATAAATAATGATTTAGAAGACGGCACATGCAAAATTATATTTGTTCAGAAAAACACATGCAAATGATTGAGAAAGACAAGGTTGATCGAGCTGAGGTTGTATTCACAAAATTGTTGGTATTTGAAGAAGTTGTACATTCCCTAAGATGCTGGTTTGTATGTATATGCAATATGCCTGCCACTCTGACCAAATCGTTTTTTTTTTTTAATTTATTTAGAGGATCTTTGCCACCTTTGATGCTTTTCCTCAAACTTTGGTTTTCACTGTTTTGTCCTTTTACATAATATGACATGCAAGAGGAATATTAACTTTGTTGGAAAACGTCATGTTGTGTTAGTTTGAGTATATCAGAGCAACTAACTCTTAAGCATCTTCAATGTTATCTTCATCAAATATCAAATTAAATAATACTCATCTCTTTTGTTTTATTTCTGATGTTTATTGTTCATTGCTTAAACTAATTCCTTTTCTTTTTATTATTCTTTTTATTTTTAAGTTCAAATTTAATTTTGTATGTTTAATAGTACTTTAATTTTAATATAGTTTCTAAATATATAAATTTTACATATTAAATTTAAAATTATGAAAAATTGAATTTTCGATAACTTCAGTCAAGTCTTGTTAACCTAATTAGACATATAAAATGAGACATATAGAGTATATGGGCATATGGCATTAAAAGAAAAGAAAAAAGAAAAAAGAAGTTGGGGGTTGGGTTAATTTGTTTTGTGCCTAGGGATAGGTCGAGCCGAGCCGAATTTTAGAAAATAGGTTTGGACTTGTTACGAAAATTTAAGACCCGGACATATATGTAGGCTTTTTGTTAGGTTCAAGCCTAAGCTTACAATTGGCTTGGCATGACCTGAAACCTTTTTAAAAGTGTGTTTAATGTGTAGGCCATTAAAAAGGCTTCAAAGTAAGTCTTGTTTTCAAACTTTTTAAAACCAACATATTTTTAAAAACTTTAATAAGTATTTTTAAATAATTTAAGAAATATACCTAATACAAAACTAATATATAACTACATAAGTATATCACCACAATGCAAACATAATAGCATTATTAAAACATAAAATATAAAAAAAAAAGTCACGACTTCAACATGCTTGTTAACTTGTTTAGGAATAAATTCAATTGTATTATTGATTATTATCCTATATAGGCTATGGATCTTAAGAACCAATCTCAGCTTTACATTTGTAAAAATTCGACGGATCTTATTAGATTTTGAAAAAAAAAAAAGAAAGACGCGGTGACAATTTTATAATTATCATCAACTCTACTGTGCAAACTTTAACACTTAATATGCAATCTTTAACAAATAAATATCCAAACCTGGTAAATTCTATAAAATTAACGAAAAAGCTAAATTTTAAATCTAAACTGTAAATGATTAAATGTTAGACTTTAAACAGTAAAAAGTGAACCACTAGACCAAATAAAATAAAAAACTCAGTCGTAAAACTCTAAAATCGAACCGTAATTGCAATGTACTTTCGCTTTTTGCAAGTGCAAACCTTTAATACTAAATATGCAAAATGTTAACACTAACTATGCAAAACGTTAATACTAAATGTGACATCACGTGTAAGGTTGTGATTAGTTCTTAGTTTTATCCTACGGACTTGTTCTCATATGATCCAATCTCTCTCTCTCTCTCTCTCTCTCTCTATATATATATATATATATATATATATATATATATATATATATATATATATATATATATATATATATATATATATGGGCCTGAAGGTCAAGCCTGGTATATATAGGTTGGCCTATTTAGTTTAATAGGCTTTGAAATGAGACTAAACCTTGCCTTTTTACTAAACAAGACATGCATAACTAGGCCTTAATTAGGCCACGCCATATGCCCAAGGGTAAATTATATCGTGCATCAGCGCTCACAATGCATTGTGCGCCCTGACCCAAAACGATTTTGTTTTGTATCTGTGCTTTTTTTTTTTTTTTTTTTTTTTTTTGGAAATTTTGTTTCCCGTTTCTGATATTAACTTCTAAAAAAAAAAAATCTCATGTTTCGAATGTACATAATTGAATAATAGAATGTATATAATTGTATAATAGAACACATATAAACTCCTAACATAATACACATAATCTAACATAATACACATAAACTCTTAACTCTAAAAAAAATCTCCTTTTTCGAATGTACATAATTGTATAATAGAATCACATAAACTCCTAACATAATATACATAATCTTTTTTGAAAGGATAATACACATAATCTAACATAATACATAATATACATAAACTCTTAATATAATACACATAAACACATAAACTCTTAACTCTTAACATAAACACATAAACTCTTAACATAATACACATAAAACGGTGTCCGTCGCGTCAATTCCCTACCCAACTTAACAAAACGACATCATTTGGATAGAGCGGGGATGCACAATACACTGTACGTCCTGATGCACAATATAATGATTGCCCTATAAAGAGGTTGACCTATTCCCATCCTTATTTTTACCTATCTTTTTAAGTTGCCACACGTATTTGGCTGAAATTTGAAACTGCATACTGTTTACAAGAGACAATTTTCAACTTAACAACTACATTAATAGTCCATTTACCATGAAACTACTCAAATCATTGGGATAAAAAAAAAAAATCAACAGTTGGGTGATGCCTTAAGTTGGCGCTTCCTCTCAGTTTATTATATACCTTGCCATGTTAAATATCATTATATATAAATTTGAGAATAAGGTTTCGTGCCTTTTATAGGAGAAAATTCAAATAATATAAGGTTTGTGATAACTATTATAATTTTTTGTATTCATTTACTCTGTGCTACTTATGAACTAATGATCTATAAAAAAAATTAATTGAGTGATACAGGGTTTGGTATGAAAAGTCTAGCATTGTCTTTTAGTATATATTTGAGGCATAGATAACTAAACTGACATGAGAACTATTATTATTATTATTATTATTATTATTATTATTATTATTATTATTATTATTGTTATTGTTATTGTTATTGTTATTGTTGTTATTATTGTTGTTATTATTATTATTATAACTTAATAGTTTAGTGCAT